CAACACAGAGCGCAGGAGCTGCTGATCCCCGAGGTACAGTGTGAGTGGCTTCAGGCTGTCCGAACCCTCACTCCCCTCACTGCATTCCGACACCCTGAGTGACAGCAGCACTCGCCTTTTCTCCTCATCCACACTCGTCACCTTAGCCACCACTGTCTGCCCACACACACAGTGCTCGCTGGGCTCCGTCACAAACTTGTCAGACATGGCCTGCGGGGAGACGGAAGGTCAGAGTGTGAGAGAGACACACACACACACAGAGAAACAGTGAATGAGAGACAGAAAGCGAGAGCAGAAAGTGAGAGACACAGAGAGAGAGTGAGAGAGACGGTGACAGAAAGCGCAACAGAGACACACAAACAGAGGCACACACACACACACACACACACACAGAGTTGGAGACAAAGAGAGACACACACAGAGAGGGAGCCACACAGAGATGGAGAGACAGTGACAGAGAGTGAGACTAGAGACAGAGAGAGAGAGGGGGGGGAGGCAGGCCAACGGGCGGGCAGGCAGGCAGAGCCCAGGTCTCTAGTGATGGACAGGAGGTAACGTTAAACACTCACCGCTTTGGGAGCCAGACCCACCAGCCCGTGCGGGAACGCCACAAACACACCGTACGGCACAATATTCTTCACATAGCCCAGTAACTGCATCCCCACCTGAGACACAGAGAGAGAGAGAGAGAGAGAGAGAGAAACAGAGAGTGTAAGAGAGAAAGAGATACAACAACATAAAATTACATCTGTATAGCGCCTTTCACGTCGGGAGGACGTTTCAAGGCGCTGGACAGTCAGTGTTTCGGACCTGAGCTGGGGGCGAGGTGGGGAAGGGGGGAGGGCAGGGGGGAAAGGAGGGTGATCGAAAGTGCGGTTGAAGAGGAGGGTCTTGAGATGGGTCTTGAAGGTGGCAAGGGGGCGAGGTGGAGGGATGCAAGATGGAGTTCCAGAGGGTGGGGGCAGAGTGTCTGAAGGCCCGTCCGCCAATAGTGGGGCGAGCGAGGTGGGGGACGTGAAGCAGGCCTGAGCCCGCGGAGTGGAGGGAGCGAGCTGGATGGTGGGGGTTTAGGTGGTCACAGAAGTAGTGGTGAGCAAGACCATGGAGGGCTTTGAAGGTGAAGACCAGAATCTTGAGTTGTATCCTCTGTGTGATGGGAAGCAAGTGGAGTCAGATAGTGTGAAATCGAGTGACAGTATGAGAGCGAGAGAGGGAGGGAGAAAGAGTTGAGTGAGAGTGAGAGGGAGTGTGTGTGAGAGAAAGAATGAGTAAGAGGGAGTGAGAAAGAAAGTGAGGGAGAGTGCATGCTGAGCGGGACAATTATGGCTGATCTACATCTGGGGCAGAACCTAACACAACTGGCAGTTGTTTGGGACCGAGTTCGGGTTCAGTGTGATAGCCCCCACCCCCCGCAGATTACCTGCAGCTCTTCAAAGTCAGTGACCAGCCCCTGCTCCTCGGCTGCGGTGAGCAGAGAGGGTTTCCTGGTCAGTATCTGTCGGGCGGGGAGTCAAGGAGTGTAACCATGACCCGGAGACCAGCACAGACTGTACCACCTCCACCCACCAGGCACTCACCTCTCTGCTTCCCATTCACTGCCATTGCTCCTGTGTGAGCCACCCAACTGTACAGCATCTCAGCCCAGCCTAACCTCTCCCCACGCGGCTCTAACACACTCATAAACACACACACACACACCCATATATAAACACACTTCACACACAGTGACACTGACACACAAACATATACACACACTCAAACACTGATATGCACACACACACACTGATATGCACACATTCACACTGATATGCACACACAGTCACATATACACACTCTCACACACCGTCTCCAAACTAACTCCCACACTCCTAGTCTCTGTGTTTAAAAATGTCCCCTCAGACCCCGCCAGTCACCTTCCTCCCCATTGACTCCCTGCGCCACCGTAACACCCCACCTTTGTGACTCCCTACCCTGGAAATGCCCCGCCAGCCACTGACACCCCCACCCCCAGTGACTCCTGTAGCCCCACCCAACCTGAGCCGCTGTACTTGAAGGATACAATGTGCCCACGGGCCTGGCTCAGCACCATGGCTCTCCCCAGCCGGTCACCCGCCTGCAGCCAGTCGCCAAGCAGTGGGCAGGTCAGTGGGTGGTCAGACAGGTGGATGGTGGGCAGCACAGCGGGCACTGCCCCTGGCACGATACACACCTGTAGGCCCTCTGCACTCCGCCCTACCACCTCCACCTCCACAATCTGTAACACACAGCAACCAGAGACATAATCCTCACCGTCACACACAGTGACACTGACATAATCACCGTCACACAGACTGACATAATCACCGTCACACAGACTGACATAATCACCGTCACACAGACTGACATAATCACCGTCACACAGACTGACATAATCAACGTCACACATAATCACCGTCACACACAATCAGTCACACACAGCGACACTGAGACAATCAGACACAGAGACACAGCCTCTCACCTCCCCGGTGTGGTACTGGGCTGCAGTGCCGGTGTTGCCGGCCGCCCCAGGCTGTGCTGTGACGTCTCCGCTGTCTCGCAGGGTGAGCAGCAGTTTCTCCTGGGCCACGTCACACTTCAACACCGTCACCCGGACAACCTGCACAGAGACAGGGGCTGTTAGTCTGACAGTCCCAACCCCCACCCCACTGCAGGGAGCGAGAGAGAGCGAGCAAAAGAGAGAACTCTCTCCCCTACTGACCATTCCTTCCCCCCACCATACGCACCTGACCGTTGTAGAAGCTGTCTCCGCCCCCCTCCCATTCCCCAGGCTGCCCCCAGTCCTGCCCCATCGCTGCCTTGGGCGGTGTAGAAGCCCCCCGTCCCCTGCCCTACCCCTCACCACTGACCTGACCGGTGTAGAAGCTGTCCTGGGGGGCCGCACTGGGCTCCGCACTGAGCTGGTGACGGGGGAGGAGGCCGCGGACCTTGTTGTAGAAGCGGACGATGCAGCCAAAATCCTTGACACACACGATGTGGCCGTGAGCCTGGCTGCCGGGCACCGCCGCGGCGTAGCTTAGCAACGGCGGCAACTGCGAGCTCACCAGCGTCTTCTTTCTCGTCAGGGTCAACCTCCGCAATCCCGCCTCCACCGACAGCACCTAAGGGCACAGCGTTCAGGGCAGGTAACAGGCAGAGAACCGCGATCCGCGATTGGGAGAGGCCGGGCGAGTCGGGGGAGGGTAGTAAGAGAGGAGAGAAGCACTCACCCGGCACGTGACTTCGCTGCCCTGACTGTAGAGTCTCTCTGGGTGTTTGAGGGGGACATCGGCGAGGTGTTGGGTGGGCACCAGCCCCTGGATGTGCTCAGTCACCTTCACCCTCAGCCCCAGCGCGTCCAGGCAAACCACCGTCCCCTAGTACAGCATACACACACCCAGTGTCAGGCACTGCACTGCCCCCCCCCACACACACACACACACACACACACAGTATACATACATCAACAACAATTGCAGTTATATAGCACCCTCCACACAGGATAGCGTCTCAGAGCGCTTAAATCCCCCTCACAAGTATTACATACGCACTACACACATACACACTGCATACACTGCACACACCACACACAGAGACCGGCTATCTCTGTCTCACACACTACATAGTTTGCCTGTACCTTTATCAGCTGTCCTGCCTGGATGTCGTGATAGGTCAGAAATTGGGCTTCAATAACGGAGCTGAAATCACAGAGTGTTAGTCAGGCTGAGCTGTCAGCAGCCCCCACACCACAAGCTCTACACAGGTATCCCCTCCCGATGCACCCAGCCCTGTCACTCTCTCTTCGACACACACAGCCCCATCACACACCCCCCCCAACACACAGAGCCCCGTTATACAAAGCCCCGTCACACACAGCCCTCAATTATGTCATGCTACATCACGCCTCATCTCGTCATTCCAATGTCATGCCACGCAGAATTCCCACTGCCCACTTCAACCACCACCCACTCTGGCCTGGGGCAGTGAGTGAGCTAGACAGTGTGAGGGAGACACAGGAGCTGCTGAGGTCACTCACGGCCTGAGGGAGATCAGGAATATCTGCTCCAGTGGGATGTGCTCCAGGATCCGGCCACGGTGCTCAGAGCCTTCCGGGAACATCCGGGCCGCAAACCGCGCTGAAGGTTCCAACATGTGGCGTCTCTGCAACCACAACACAACAGGTCACATCCTGGGCACTCCTCTCCAATCCCATTCCTTGCTCTCTCCCCACCGTGTCTGTGCTGGGGCTCGCTCCCCCACTGGAGCTCTCTACTCTAACCCCATTCCCTGCTCTCTCTCTCCCCATTGTGTCTGTGCTGAGGCTCGCTGCCCCACTGGAACTCTCTACTCTATTCCCATTCCCTGCTCTCTCTCTCTCTCTGTCTCTCTCCATCGTGTCTGTGCTGGGGCTCGCTCCCCCAGTGGAGCTCTCTACTCGAACCCCATTCCCTACTCTCTCTCTATCGTGTCTGTGCTGGTGCTCGCTCCCCTAATGAAGTGCTTTGAGACGTCCCAACTAGGTGAAAGGCACTGGATCAAATGCCTGGATTATTACTATTATTTATCCCATTCCCTTTCATGCCTTTGAATTATTATGCCCCACCCCCGCCCCTTCCCAATGCTGTTACTCACGTGAGCGAAGGCCAGGTGGCCGTGGCCGAAGTGAAAGGTGGCTCCGGCCCCGGTGTGGTAGGCGGTGAGTGTGCAGCTGTTCAGCACCTCCCCCAGCTGGTGTGAGGTGGTCAGTGGCAGCACAGTCCCGGGCTGCAGCAGCAGCCCTCGCACACTCAGTCCCACCTGCTGACCATCAGGCTGCACATACAGCACACATGCTCTCACCTGGGGGAGAACAACAGTGTGACAGGGTGTGTGTGAGAGATGGGTCTGTGTGTTTATATGGTGTGTGTGACAGGGGTGTATGTGTGTGAGACAGGGTGGGGGGGTGTATGACGGGTGTATGTGATGGGGTTAAGGAGGGCTCTGGTTGGATACAGATCACACTCACTGTCTGCCCCCTGCAGTACGTCTCTCCTGGCTCCAGGTGCAGAAAATCCACGGAGCCCGAGAAATCAGCCAGAAACCGCAGCATCAGCCCACGCCGGGTCACCTGTAACTCACTGAGTCAGTCACCAGCTCACACAGTCACACACACCACAGAGAGAGACCACAGCACACAGTCACACACACCACAGAGAGAGACCACAGCACACAGTCACACACACCACAGAGAGAGACCACAGCACACAGTCACACACAACAGAGAGAGAGACCACAGCACACAGTCACACACCACAGAGAAAGACCACAGCACACAGTCACATACAACAGAGAGAGAGAGAGACCACAGCACACAGTCACACACACCACAGAGAGAGACCACAGCACACAGTCACACACAACAGAGAGAGAGAGAGACCACAGCACACAGTCACACACAAGAGAGAGAGAGACCACAGCACACAGTCACACACCACAGAGAGAGACCACAGCACACAGTCACATACAACAGAGAGAGAGAGACCACAGCACACAGTCACACACAACAGAGAGAGAGAGACCACAGCACACAGTCACACACACCACACAGAGAGAGAGACCACAGCACACAGTCACACACACCACACAGAGAGAGACCACAGCACACAGTCACACACGCCAGAGAGAGAGAGACCACAGCACACAGTCACACACACCACAGAGAGAGAGACCACAGCTGACAGGCACACCCACCAAAGAGAGAGAGACCACAGCACACAGTCACACACACCCAGTGTGACAGACACACAGAGAGAGCACTGAGCAAGAGAGAGACCGTGGCACTGCGAGACAGACAGCCAAAGCAATCAAGCGAGCCCTACCTTGGTGACCTCGGCCTGCAGCAGGAGACCAGGTTGCAGGCTGCCCAGGCTCCAGCCCTGCTGGGTGGTAGCGGTCGCTGCTCGCAGCTCAGCCGGGGAGAGTGAGAGCTGGACAATCCTGCCGCTGTTCTTCACTCCCTGCACCAGGCAGCTAAGAGCCTGGCCCACACGCAGGGGAAGCCCTGCCAGCAACAACACACGTGTCAGTGTCCCTCATCAACACCCACCCACGAGGCACATTCTCCACCAGCACCACCCCCACCCCCGTGTCTCTCATTCCATAATAATAATCCTTCCATTTGATATAGCGCCGCATCACGTCTTCGTGATGGCTCAAAGCACTTCACAGAATATACTGTAAAGCAAATTGACTGTATATTTTGTGGGCAAAATACAGCAGCTAATCGCACACAGCAGCTTCCCACAAACAGTCGTACAGTAAGTGACCAAATTATTATTTTTTTTTCTGGAGGGATTATTACCACCGGAAAAGCCATCCTTCAATCGAATAACACCCGGGTTCCTACTTACTGCTGGTAAACAGAGGCGCATGGAGTAAGGAAACTTGCCCAACATTTCACCTTGACGGGGCAAACCCACGTCCTCTTGCTTGTGAGGCGAGTGTTCTAGCCACTAAGCTACAGGACTCCACTCCTGTATGTATCTTTCCCCCCACCCAGTCTGGCAGGCTGGGGTGAGGCGGGGGCGGTAAGGTGTGTGTGTCGCTCACCCCGGTTGCTGAGTTGGATGTACTCCTGTGCTCTCTCACTCAGTAGGAAAGCTTTGGTGCCTTTCACTCCGATGTCCATCAGGTACCCATGATCCTCCACACTGGCCACACAGCCTGCCAGCAGCTGACAGTGAGAGAGCGAGGAGCGAATGAGAGAGCGAGGAGAGAGAGAGCGCGGCGAGAGAATGGGAGAGAGAGAGAGAGAGAGGAAAGGGAGTGAGAGAGAGAGAGAGAGGAGACCGTGTGAGAAAGCACGGCGCAAGAGAGAGAGTGTGGAAAGAGAGTGGGAGAGGGGAGAGTGTGAGAGAGCATGCAGCACACAGTCACACACACCAGGGAGTGAGTGAGAGAGAATGAGCCCGGAGAGAGAGAGAGGAGAGTGAGTGCGAAAGGAAAGTGAGCGCTTAGAGAGAGAGAGTGAGAGTCAGTGAGTCAGTGAAAGGGAGGGAGAAGCGAGAGGCAGTGTAGTCCTCACTCACCATGCCTGCCCTCAGGGCCCCTGCAGACAGCACCTTGTTGACTTCCCTGGGATTGATGGAGAGCTTCAAGCTGTTGTGTTTGTTCCTGGTGACTCCCAACTCAGTCACAGCACAGCGTAGCAACATGCCCGGGTGGTACAGCTCCGTTAGGGGTATCACAGCCTGACACACAGGACAGCGTGTCACAACCTAGCACACCCCTTCCCCCATCCCCTGCTCAGCCCAGTGCCCCACCTCCCCCAGTCTAGCTCAGCCCGTTGTCCCCCACTACCCACGCAGCGTGTCACACACGGCGCTAGAGCAATTACAGAATGTACAGCATCATGCACTGCGACTGAACAAAGGTGCTGTAGAGAGTGAGAGGCTGTTGCTGATTTGAAAGAGCAAGCCCCCACCCCTTGCACTCCCCTCCCCCCTCCCATAGAGCCCCACAATCCCACCTAACGACCCCTTCCTCACACCTGTGGTAGCTCCTCCTCCACCTGCTCCCTCAGGTGCTGGCTGTAGGCATCGGAGATGTTGGCCACACCCACATAGCCGGTCAGCCCGTGGGGCAGCGCCATCACCAGCTCGTAGTCAGTCACCTCCTTCACACAGCCCAGCATCAGCCAGCCTGGGGTCAGCCTCTAACACAGGGAGGAGACACACAGAGATCAGCCAAGTCAATTCCTTCACACAACCCCGCATCAGCTTCTAACACACATACACACACACAACACACAGATCAGCTCAGCCACAGCCTCTAACACAGAGAGAGATCAGCACTGGTCACTGGCTAACAACACCAACAACAAATTACACTTGTATAGTGCCCTTTATGTTGGAAAGAAGTCCCAGAGTGCTGGACAGTCAGGGCTTTTTGGCTCCAAGCTGGGAGTTGGGGCCAGGAGGGAGCAGTGGAGGGCAGGGAGGGGTGGAGGGCAGGGGTGGGAGGGTGGCTGAAGGCACGGTCTGCCACGTCAGCCACTGTGACCCGACTCGAGAGAGGGAATCAGAGCAAAGAGAAAGGATGGTCTGGGAACCGGAGGAGCCTCAGTGGATCTCAGGAAATCTGATCCTCCGTTTCCTGTACAAATCCAGACAGAAATCACCGCAATACAGTCTCCCAAAACAGATCAGCTCAGCCACAGTCTAACACAGAGAGAGACACAGAGATCTGCCATATCAACACCACTGGCACAGCAAGCCCTGGGAGCTTGAGGGAGTCGGACCCCAGGAGCCAGGAGGCTGAGGGAGGCAGCCCCCGACACAGCAGGGCTTTGTGGAGCTTGTGTGGACGCGGTGCTGGCTCCCAGTAGAGCACAGATCGTCCTGGGGAACCTTCAGCTCAGCACGATCAATGAGCTGAGGGATCGACATGGCAGCACCGGGAACGAGTTTCCCCACCACACAGACTCCCTCACACTGCCTGCTTGCACCGGGTTAATCAGTGACCAAGCAGGTGGTGGAGAGCGAGTTATTCGCTTACCCTAAAGCTGAGGAGCTCGGCCAGTTTCCTAGGGCCTGTTTGAGACCAGCCGCACACTGCTTTCTTTGGCTTCTTCTCTTTGTCTGGTCTTGATACCTTCTTCTTTGGTTTCTTCTTCTTGAGCTCCTGTTGGAGCTGTGACAGACAGAGAAAGTTGAGGGCCAGTTTGTGAGTTAGACGTAGAACTACTTTTTTGGGGGTATCAGCCAAGTGTCTGACAATTGTGGAAACCCATTATAGTACTTAAGAGTCTCCAATCCCAACTGAGATTTCCAAGAATCTCACCGACACGTGGAAATAAATCCCAGAGATAGATTGTTAGAAATGGAATGTACACTCTCTCCCTGGAGGAACGCGTCGTACTTACCTAATTCCGGAAAGTATGAGGCACAGGTTGGCAAGAGCCAAGGCTTGCCCCCTTGTGCACAGTAGTTATTATTATTATGATTATGATTATTATCAGACAGAGGTGATTGTCCCCAGCCATGAAGATACTCACTCTAAACAGGTCCTCCTCCTTGGCGCTGCCCTTGGTCTGAGAGGGCTTCCTCTGCGCCCCCCCACGGGGGAAATCCGCCTCCAAATTGGCCATCGTCACACCCCTTCGAAGCAAACAGATCGCCATCAACAATAACAGATTCATCAGCAGCAATTAGCATCAAGCTGTCAGGCGCTGACACCACCACCATTCATGGTTGCACACTCTACCTTGCTAAGCCAGTCCAGAACCTTGGCGTCTTGTTTGACCCTTAACTATCCTTTCTACCCCACATCTGCGCCATGACCTGCTCTGCCTTCCTCCACCTCCGCAACATCGCCCGGCTCCGACACTGTCTCACACCGCAGGCTGCCGAAACCCTGAAGCATGCTTTCATTACATCGAGGCTCGATTATGAAAACTCACTGCTTGTCGGCCTCCTGGACTCCTCCCTCCACCGGCTGCAGATCACCCAGAACTCTGCAGCCGTGTCCTCTCATGCACCAGCTCCGTGACCCTATCACCCCCATCCTCGCCTGATTCCACAGGCTTCCCATCACAGAGGATATGGTTAGAGATCCTGGTCCTCACTTTCAAAGCCCTCCATGGTCTTGCTCACCCCGACCTCTGCGACCTCCTAACCCCCTACCATCCTGCTCGCTCCCTCCACTCAGCGGGCTCCAGCCTGCTTCATGTCCCCCGCCTCGCTCTCCCGGGCGGGCCTTCTACCACTCTGCCCCCCCCCCCTCTGGAACTCCATCCCGCAGTCTCTCCGCCTCGCCCCCTCCCTCGCCACCTTCAAGACCATTCTCAAGCCCCTCCTCTTCGACCGTGCTCTCGATCTCCCTGCCTCCCCCCCGCCCTCCCCGACCTCCAGCTCAGGTCCGAAACCCTGTCCAGCGTTTTGGGACATCCGCCCAACGTGAAAGGGGACTTTACACATGTAATGTTGTGTTATTTCGTTGATGTAACAGCTAATTTACACAAACCAACATCCCATAAACCGCCACTAACTGAATGACGAGTTCTATCTGGGGATTGTTGGCCAGAATACCACGAGATGGACACAGACTCCCTTCTCTTTTCAAGTAGCCTCCGCCTGAATCGAGGGACGTTGGCTCATTGTGAGGCTCCAACACACGCTCTCCCCCTCCCCCTCCCTCCCCCACACACTAACCCCGGCTCCGGCCTCTCCCTCCCCACCGGGGAGACCCTCACAGCTCGGGTCCGGGTGGTAATGGAGTGCTGCTCCGCTCGAGAATTCCCCGCAATCTTCACCGCAGAGAGAGGCCCATTACCCGCTCTGGAGCGCTCTACTCTGAACCCATTCCCTCTCTCGCCCCATCGTGTGTGTGTTGTACTCACATGGACGCCGCCATTACAGTGACCCGGAAGTTCTCTCGCTGACCCCGGGCTGGGGAGGGGGCGGGACTTGTCCCAGACTGACCAATGGAGCCCCGGGCGCTCTGTAATTGATGCAGCTCTTCGCCAATCACAGCCGGGAGCTGCTCGGCCAATGGGCTCGCGGGCAGCGGCTGTACGGAAGTGACGCAGTGCTGGGCCGGTGGACTGAACGGGGCGGGATTTCCGGTGCTGACCAGGGCCGCTGAAGGACGCTGTGATCCGCGGTGTGAAGGTGAGAGCTGGTCCCGGCCTCGGCGCACTCAACCCCGGGCCCGCGCACACACCAGCACCGGCTCCCGGGAGCAGCGGGTGGCTCGGCCGCAGCCTGGGCCCGGAGTTTTGGCAGCTGAGGGGGAGGGAGTCTGGAGCCCCGCGGCCTGAACCCGCGGCGGCGGCTCCTGAGGAACAATCGCAGCAATGATAGTGATTGTGTGGCATTTGATCGCAGACTTCTCACGTCATTGAGAGACGTCTCAAAGCTTCACAGAACATACTGTAAAATGTAGTGACTGTGTCGTGTGAGGAACGGCCGCGCCCACGGGTGTAGTAACTGTTTAATGCAGTCGGGGCGGCCCAGTCCGGGGCTCAGGAGCCTGGCCTCGGGGTGGCTGAGTGCCCGGGTGTGGGGTAGGGCAGTGCCGGGCGCTGTCCACCGAACCACACCGCGTGCCGTTCGGAGCCGGAGCCGAGCGCTGTCGGGTGGGCTTTCCCGCTGCTGGTCCGCCCGGGACCACCCTATCTGTCACTCCCATTGTCGGCCCCTCCACATCCTGCCGATGAGCTGCGCTGCCACTATCCTCCCGGCATCCGGGTATTCTCCTGACGTGGAAGGCGCTATATCGATGTAAATTTATATTGAAATGTGTCATCAAAAAGACTCACAGCACTTGACAGCAGTTGTTGTGATGGGAGCGCGCGCCTCCTCTCCCCACCGCTCTCGGCTACTTCGAGTGACGCCTGTTATTTTCTCCCAGGTTCTGTTAGCAAGAATGGCTGGTCACGAGAGCGCGTCCCAACACCAGTTCACTGGTATCCAGAAATACTTCAACGCCTACAGCATAGTAGGCAGGAGGAACGTAAGTACAGGGAGGTCTGTGGGGACTGCAGAGGCCATATCACTGTGTGTTTCTGCCCAGCAATGAGCAAAATTAATAAAGTGAACAGACGCATTACCTCCAACACCAATCGGGAATGTAGACAGTGTAGAGGAGCTTTACTGTGTCTCTAACCCTGACCTGGAGTGTGGACACACAGTGTAGAGGAGCTTTACTGTGTCTCTAACCCTGACCTGGAGTGTGGACACACAGTGTAGAGGAGCTTTACTGTGTCTCTAACCCTGACCTGGGAGTGTGGACACACAGTGTAGAGGGAGCTTTACTGTGTCTCTAACCCTGACCTGGAGTGTGGACACACAGTGTAGAGGAGCTTTACTGTGTCTAACCTGACCTGGAGTGTGGACACACAGTGTAGAAGAGCTTTACTGTGTCTCTAACCCTGACCTGGAGTGTGGACACACAGTGTAGAGGAGCGTTACTGTGTCTCTAACCCTGACCTGGGAGTGTGGATGCACAGTATAGATGGAGCTTTATGACACCCAACTCTACTTCTCTTCCTCCATCCTTGACTCCAAGACAACTGCTGTCCTGACAGAATGTCTATCAGACATCAAGTCCTGGATGAGAGCGAACTTTCTTCAGTTGAACATCAACAAGACCGAGGCTCCTGATTGGGTCCTGTCAGCGCCTCCTCACCTCAGGCATCACCATCCATGGTTGCACACTCCACTTTGCTAAGTCAGTCCGGAACTTTGGGGTCTTGTTTGACCCTCAACTATCCTTTCTACTCCACATCTGTGCCATGACCCACTCTGCCTTCCCCCACCTCCGCAACATCGCCCGGCTCCGACACTGTCTCACACCGCAGGCCACAGAAACCCTCATACACGCCTTCATTACATCAAGGCTCGACTATGCAAACTCAATGCTTGTCGGCTTCCCCAACTCCCCCCTCCACAGGCCGCAGATCATCCAGAACTCTGCAGCCCATGTCCTCTCCCGCACGAGGCTCCGCGACCCTATCACCCCCATCCTCACCCAACTCCACTGGCTTCCCATCACAGAGAGGATACGGTTCAAAATGCTGGTCCTCACCTTCAAAGCCCTCCATGGTCTTGCTCCCCCTACCTCTGTGACCTACTAACCCCCTACCATCCTGACCACTCCCTCCGCTCAGCGGGCTCCGGCCTGCTTCATGTCCCCCACCTCACTCACCTCACTATTGGCGGACAGACCTTCTGCCACTCTGCCCCAACCCCTGAAACTCCATCCAGCAGTCCTTCCGCCTTACCCCCTCCCTTGCCTTCTTCAAGACCCATCTCAAGACCCTCCTCTTCGACTGTGCTTTCAACCTGAGCTTGGGTCAAAAAAACTGTCTGTCCAGTGCCTTGGGATGACCTCCTGACGTGAAAGGCACTATACAAATGTAATTTTGTTGTTGTTTACTGTGTCTCTAACCCTGTCCTGGGATTGTGGTTGGACAATGTAGAGGGAGCTTTACTCTGTCTCTAACCTGCACTGTCTCTGACCTGGGAGTGTGGATGTTGTGCTTTGAGCTGACACTGATGCCGTGGCTGTATGATACCATCCTCCCAACGTGAAAGGCGCTTTACAAATGTAATTGTATTGTTGTTGTTGTCCCATTGCAGTGTGTGTTGGCGACGTATGGGGCCATCGCAGGCATTTTCTTGTTTTTCAAACTCAAACCCAAGAAGAAATCAGCCATAACTGAGAAAACCCAGTGATGGGAACGAGGTGAGGAACTGTGTGCTGGGGCTTCCCCACCTGCGCCCAGTGCTCGCCCGCCCACCTGTGACCAGCAGCTGTCGGCACTCGCGGACCAGTCTGTCACTGGTTTTAAAAACCTTATATACTAATTCTTGCATTTGATAAAGCGCCTTCTCACACAGTCGCGATGCCTCAAAGGATCCACTGTAGATCGTGTATTTTACGGGCAAAATTATTTCTCTAAAGTTGAAAAACTCGGTATAAAAGGCTTATCATCAGCACCGTCTCGGTTGCATGGACCCAAATTCGCTTTGATTTTACTCTCTCAAGTGTCCATTTCCACTCTTTTCCCAGATTCCCATTGCGGGAGGGATGGGGTGAGGAGCTGAGCCGCAGCGGCTGTGTATGTGACCAGTGCGGTGCCTGAGCCTGGAGTGAACATTGGAATCAGGAGCTGTGCCGCTCAGCACTCCGGTGATTGTAATATACATTATGAACTTTCAGAAATAAAGCCTGTCACAATAATCATCCCTGCATTTGATATAGCGCCTTATCACTTCTTTGAAACGACTCAAAGCGCTTCACAGGATAAACTGTAAATTGACTGTATATTTTGTGGGCAAACCTCAGTTAAAGGCAAGTGCCCTAACTACTGAGCTACAGGACTCATTTCCCTTCACACTGGGCCGGCCACTCACAACTAACAATGACTGGTGGGGGTTTCATTAAGAGCAGACAGCTCCGGATTCCAGCCGCTCGAGAAACGATACCCCCATTTCCCCACATATCCATTTCCTTCTTTCCTCCCTGCCCCCCGCCCCCTCACACGCTGATCAAACTAAATGTGTTTTCAGTTTTATTGTAAATTATACATAAAAAATAAGTGTCAGACGGACAAGCCACTGTGGGGTGTGGCTTCTCGTCCTCCACATCTGGACGTACGACAATGTGTCGCAGATACTGTGGGACAATTGGAATGGAACATCTGTCACAAGCGGCGGGGAGGAGGGGGGGGTCACGGATACCGTGAAAATAAGCGCTTCCTGACTGCTCATGTTGGAGGTTGGAGGGGGAAGAGGGGAAGTAGTCAGATGTCTGTGGCAGGCCCTAGATGAGGGGTGCTGACCCCACTAGCTGTGGTTAAGAATCTTGTCTAATCTTTGTTTCTGCCACCTGATGATGTGCCTCCAATCCTGCGTGGACACGACAGGGGGAGGCCACAGCTCTGGCTACTGAGAAACCTGTACACATTACAGACTGTGTACTGAGCATGTACACACGCAGATCACACGCATGACCACTGACACGTAGTGGTGTGCAGTCCACCTGACTTGGGAAGGGAGAGAGAGGAAGCATGCTGTACCTGAGCCTGACCCTGGGGTCTGATGAAGTTGTCGGTGCCCAGAGTCCATCCACCCTCCCAGTTTTAACACAAGGCTGGGGGAAGCCAGTGTTCATTCCCATACAAACCCAGGGCCCGTGTGAAGCCAGGGTCTTGTCCTGCATGGCTGCCCCGACTGCTCACATTGAGCTCTCCCGCCGTGGGCTCCAGTACTGGGAGAGCAGCAGTGCTGGAAGTGGATGGCTCTCGTGGTAGGTGGGGGTGTGTGGGGTGGTGGGGATTACTGTGGGTTGTACGCTCCTGCAGCCAGCAGCAGGTTGCGGCGAGTGAAGTGGAGCCCGATGACGGGCGTGGACTTGCTCAGGTAGCTGCCCAGCAGCAGCTCCTGTGAGTTGTCAGCCAAGCTGATGTGTCCTGTCGCTGTGCTGAAGTCATCCGTCTCCAGGTCCTCGAAGGCTTTGACCATGTCCCAGAGGCGCACTGTGTGGTCCATAGAGCCTGCAGGGCATAGCACACAGTCAGCACTCTGCCTTGCCCCCACTGCCCCCTTCTGCGGGAGAAGGGCTCTCACCACCCCCTCCCCCCAACTTCACATACACACGCACTCACACAACCACCATTAGTTATTCTTTCACCTTTTCATTAAAAACCTCAATCACAGTTTATGGACCAAGACTGTTACTCAGTGTTTAATGTAAATAGTCCCAGGTCCCCTCAGTCCATGTCTACATCTGACATCTGTTCCCCACCACCCCACCCCACACACACACTTCACCCCCAGTGCCCCCCCACACACCCCATCCCCAGTGCCCCCCCACACACCCCACCCCCAGTGCCCCCCCCCACACACACACACTCCATCCCCTGTGCCCCCCACACACCCTACTCCCAGTGCCCTCCCAGTGCCCTACACACGGTAGAAGATGGTGGTAGGTTTGAGGCAATGGGGAGAGGGATATGGGAGTTGAGGGAGATGAAATGGTGGTCAGAGATGAGCGTGTCAGTGATGGTGACATCCGAGACACTGAGGCCCCAGGTGATGACCAGGTCAAGTGGGTGTCCATGGGTGTGGGTAGCAGAGTGGATGTGAAGGGAGAGGAGAAGAGAAGAGAGAGAAGTCTGAGGAGGTAGAGCAGGAGGAGGTGAAGTGGAGGTTGAAGTCGAAGTCGTCTGACTCACACACACACTTCACCCCCAATGCCCCCCAACACAGGCACAACTCAACCCCTGTGCCCCCGCACCTCACCTGAAGCCAGGATCTCTCCGTCACGGCTGAACTTGAGGGAATAGACGGTGTCTGTGTGCCCTTTCAGCTCTCCTACCAGCAGCCCGTGCCCGATGTCCCAGAGCAGCACCCGCCCGTCTGTGCCCCCCGAGGCCAGGTACCTGCCATTGGGAGAGAAGGCTAGGGAATGGAGCGGGCCCTGGGAGCGGGAAGGAAAGGAGGAAACATTACTATCTGCCTCAGGATGAAACGCACAGACCAGTCTGAGGCTGCAACACAGCGCGATTGGGGGGTTGGGGGAGAGATTGCATTGTTGGAGGGGCCATCCTTTGGATGAAACTTCAAACTGAGGTTCCGTTTTAGCAGGTGTTAGAGTTTTACAGTGCTAATCACAAGAGGGGTGGTTCCCAGCAGCCATAGTCTTTCCTTCTGACCACTCACACAATGACCTTGTGACCCCCTGGCGAGCAAGGCCTACGTGAAAAACAGGGCCATCTGCCTGCCCAGTGCCCACAGTGACTGATGCCCGGTTGTTCACCCAGCACCCACGTGATGCCCGATTCAATGCCAGGCCTGAGGGCTGTACCTTGTGCCCGGTGAGGATTCGTACACAGTTGCCGTTGAGCACGTCCCAGAGCCGCACTGTCCTGTCAGCCGAGCCCGTGGCCACGTAGTTGGAGTTGGGATGAAAACGTGTGCAGGTCACGTCGGATAGGTGTCCAGAGAAGATCCGCAGTGGCTGGTAGTGGTCAGTGACCCAGAGCCTGCGGGAGAGAGAGCACAGCCTGAACACCCAGGCACTCACAATCTGGGGGCAGGAAATCCTCCCACTCAGCTCCTGTTAACCCTGCATGCTAAAGCCCTAATGTGTAGGGTGGTCCTGGCTGGACAAGCAGCGGATAAGCTTACCACCCAGTGATATCAGCGACAAGCTGTGTGGGTTTAGCTGGTTAGACTCCAGCAGTTACTCCAACACACACTGCTCCCCCTCAAGCCTTGGCTCTTGCCAACCTGTGCCTAATACTATCCGGAATTAGGTAAGCAGGAAGTGTCCCTCCAGGAAGAGAGAGAGAGCGAGAGGGCGCATTCCATTCCAATAATCTATCTCTGGAATTTCCATATGTTGGTGAATTGCATGGGAATCCCAACGGGAATCTCAGTTGGGTTTGGAGACTCTTAAGCACAGTAATGGTTCTGTACGTGTCAAGACACCCGACTGACAAAAAAAACCCTCCCTGACACCCCCACTGTTATACACACCCCGAGGACCCTAGAACGAGACTTACCGTGCCACCCGGTCATGTCCACCTGACACAAAGTAGTACCCGTATGGGGAGAAGTGGGTGTCCCACACCGGATAGTTGTGGCCCTTGTAGCCCACCAGGCAGGTGAAGGTCTGCAAGCTCCACAGTCGCACTGTTCCGTCCTCCGAGCTCGACAGCAGGTAGTTCCTGAGAGAACCCAGGGCAGCAGAGAGAGAGGATCAAGGACTGGAGCATTCACTCTAAACTTCACTGGAGCTCTCTACTCTAACCCCATTCCCTGCTCTCTCTCTCTCTCCCCATCGTGTCTGTGCTGGGGCTCACTCCCCCACTGGAGTTCTCTACTCTAACCCCATTCCCTGCTCTCTCTCTCTCTCTCTCCCCATCGTGTCTGTGCTGGGGCTCGCTCCCCCACTGGAGCTCTCTACTCTAATCCCATTCCCTGCTCTCTCTTCATAGAGTCTTTGTAGGTGTTCACAGCAGTCCTGTCTGATAGCAGTCTGCTTGTTCAGAAGCCTCCCTCCCTTCTCTCTCCGCCACCCACTCCCCGACCCTCGACCTCCAATGGCCAGGTAGCTCCTGATGCCCTACTCACCGGTCGGGGCTGAAGCTGGTGCCGTACACAGGGCCGCCATGTCCCAGTAACATCTTACACTCGCACGCTGTCCTCTCGTCCATGATCCTCTCCAGCACATCCTCCGATTCCTTGTCAATTAGACTGAGATCTGAGGGGACACAGCACAGGAGGCCTGAGCACCCTCACAGCCAGATTTCCCCACCCCTCCAGCCCCTTCCCATTGCCAGGTCTCCCCACCCACCTCCTCCGCCAGCCCATTACCAGATCTCCTCGCCCCTGCCAGCTGCTCCCCCATCACCATATCTCCCCTCCCCCATCGCTCGATCTCACCCCTCAACCAGAAACCCCACTCCATATTACCTGTCGCCCCCTTGACACTCCGCAGCTTCTTTGGTGTGACGCTCCACACACGCACCGTGGAGTCAGCAAAGCCTCCTGCGATCAGGCTTGAGTCGTCTGTGAAATCCACCGCAGTGAGACCCTGTGCGAAGGGACACAGATCTCAGGTTAGACACACAGTCTCTGCAGCGAAACCTCAGGTTACGGGATGGATGGGCAGTGAAGTTGGTGGGCATGGACTGACCTGGTAAGCATTGAGGAAGGTGTAGAAGCAGATGGAGGGCAGACAGTCAGGGCCCAGCTTCACTCTCTTCGTCCCCTCCTTCATCACCATAATCTTGTCCAGCTTGTCCGAGTCTTTCAGCTCAGGTAGCGGAATCCTGACCAGAGGAAAGAAAGTGTTAAACATTATTCCTTGCAATAAACTTCCCAAGCTTGAAGCTGACCTGGGCTCAATCCCTTCCCAAGAGGTTGTGAGGAGTGAGAGGGTGGGAATGCTGGTATCCTGGGGAGGGAGTGCGGCCCTGTATCACACAATCCCCCCACATCCCAGTCTGGTCAGTGTGTGCTGCTGGCTTCTCCACATCAGCCGTCCAGGATCATTCATCTCCCTTTAACTACCAAGTGTGTCCTCCCCATCAGAAGCCATAGTCAGATAGGCTGAGCAGGCACTAATGAGCTGAAAGACCAGAGCAGGAGAGGCTGATGCTTGCAGCAGAGCCGGGATGGAGGGGGGTGGGGTGGGGGAAGAGTACCTGTTCTGCTGGGGGGCGTTGGGGTCTTGTTTCTTACTCTTGGCCCCCACGTTCTCCTTCTTGGCTTTCTTCTTCTTGGGCTTGCCCTCCTCGTTCTCCACATCCTCATCCTCATCATCCAGAGGCACCTCGATCTCCGGCTCTTTCAACAGCCCGAAAAACACCTGCCACACAGCACAGCCTGGTTTAGTCTGGCCCAGAAATCACCAGCACAGAACAGCCATTCTGGCACTGGCCAGCACAGCACAGCCTGGACTGGCACTGACCAGCAAAGCACAGTACAGCCTGGCACAGACCTGCACGGCACAGCCTGGCATTCACCAGCACGGCACAGCACAGCCTGGCACCAACCAACATAGCCTGGCCTGGCACTCACCAGCACAATCTGGCTCTGACCAGCACAGCACACAACCTGGCCTGGCACTGACCAGCAATGACCTGGCTCGGCACTGACCCAGATTCACACTTTGGCTTTCCCATCATTGCCGGCTTGGAAATCACCCAATCCAGGTCCTGAAATATGCCTTGGAAATGTTCTTGTCAAAGTGTCAGCAATCACCAGTGGCAAAAGATTACTTGTCCCTAATAATCATGCAGTTTCCTCCTAACCTCATTCCTTAATTCCCCAGTGCCCACCCTCCACCCACCCATGGTGCCCACCCCAAGCCACTGCTCACCTTGGACTTGTTGGCTTCCCGCTTGGCCTCCCCGGCCATGCCGCCGGCCGTCACCTCCAGCTGCTGCTTGCTGCGAGGCATGCCATCGAACACGTCGATGAAAAGGTGCTCCTGCACAATGTTCCAGATCTGGTTGTTCTGCCGCTCCTGCAGGTGCCGCTTCAGGCACTGGTACGAGTCCCGTGAGATGCGTAGCACAAACTTACTTGTGCGGAAGTCCAGCACTGTCTCGTTGCCACGCATGTGTTCCTTCTTGGACAGTCCCGCCAGCACCCGCAGGTCGTCATGGTAGTAGCCCTCCTGATCGACATGGTACCTGTGCCAGCCAGTGCAGGACAGACACATAGTGAGTGGTCAGGGGAACATAAAGAGGTCGCATTCTGTCACACCTCAACAGAGAATCCTGTCTCCTTGGATAGACACCAGCGTTTCACCCACTCACACCCCTCACTGAAACATGGGCAGATCTTATACACAACAGTCACTGGATTGTACTAATAATAATCCTTGCATTTGATAAAGTCCCATATCACATCTTCGAAACATCTCAAAGCGCTTCATGGAATATACTGTAATGCGAATTGACTGTATATTTTATGGGAGAAACTCGACAGCCAATTGCACACAGCAGCGTCTCACAAACAGTCGTGGACCGAGTGATCAAATTTTTATTATTTTTGAAGAGATTATTACCCCCAGAAAGCGATCTGCCAATCGACTAACAACCGGATTCCTACTTCCTGCTAAGTAAATAGAGGTACGTGGAGTAAGGAAACTTGCCCAATGTTTCGCCCTGTCCGGGAATCAAGCCCAAGTCCTCTCGCTTGCAAGGCGAGTGTTCTAATCACTGAGCTACAGGACTCCACAATGTATTCCATCTATTCCTGACATCAGAAGCATAAATACATATTTATATATTGCACTCTTTATGGCTGGCTCCTGTATTTATCATGATAATATCTCCTCGCCATGCTGACTTTAGCACCGTGTAACATGAAACAGTTTAATGCTCCCTCACTGACAGTGAAAGAGTATAACTGATCCTCTCAGCGGCTCTCCGATACAACTCATGTGCTTTATGGCTCCCTCGGTAATGGCCAAATGCAAGGCATTGAGCAATGTAACATTGTAATGCCGGCTGAAATGGTCCGAGGCATAAAACAGGAGGTAATGGCTGACTAATGGAAGCGATATGGGAAATGATGAGACAATGGCTCGAACAGAGGCGTCTCAGAGGGGAACTCACAGAGGTAAGTAAGATGCTAAATGTGACAGAGAAACTAAACCCTGAACAATACTTCCAGAAACATCAAGGTCGCAGGCTCTGGGCTGACAGGCAAGAAACAGAACCTAAACCAAGGTCTTTCTTTACACAGAGGGGAATCATCACCTCTAACAGACTACCAGGAAGCTTGGTGGAGACCACTATTGGACTCGTTTAGAAATAGCCTCGCACTGTTATAATTCTGTGATGAAAGCTTCATACAGTCTAAGCTGACACTCTAAAGCAGTGCTGGGGAGTGCAACATAGTCCACCATCCTGTTTATCTTGTTTATTGCTGCTTCACACTGTGCGATATGGTGAGCCATGAAGAGTGAACTAACATCCCTGGAGCCTTAGCAAGTTCTATCCCATCCATAGAGTACTTGTGTTTCCTATTCTTGGATCCTACATGTAATACCTTGTATTTATCTATATTAAACTTCATTTACCAGTTATCAGCCCATGGGTATATCCTATTAAACTATCTTTATAAGAATAATCCTTGCATTTGATATAGCGCTTTATCACGTCTTCTAGTCGTTTCAAAGCATTTCACAGAATATACTGTGAAGTGAATTAACTGTATATTTTGTGGGCGAAACACAGCAGCCAATTGCGCTCAGCAACGTCCCACAAACAGTCATGGATTGAGTTTGAAAGTGATTATTACCCCCAGAAAAGTAATCCGCCAATCGACTAATAACCGGGTTCCTAGTTACTGCTGGTAAACAGAGGAGTGTGGAGTAAGGAAACGTCCCTGATGTTTCACCCTAGCCAGAAATCGAACCCAGGTCCTCTCGCTTGCGAGGCGAGTGCTTGAACCACTGAGCTACAGTACTGCACTTTATAGGATCTTTGCTACTTCTCTGACTCCACGGTTCCCCCAAACTTGGTGTCATCTGCAAATTTTATTATCTTGCCCTGTGAATCCAGGCCATTAATATATACAAGGTGTCTTTCAGGTGGTACTTTGTCAAGTGCCTTTTGGAAATCTGGGTAGACCACATCAACTGACTTCTCACAGTGAGTTCGAGCTATTCTCAAAAGGTTGGTCCGACAAGACCTACTCTTTATGTGAGTACCTTAACAATAAGTTAATATAAAATTTAATATAGCACCTTATCGCGTGTTTGAGACATATCAAAGCGCTTGTCCAGGTAAACATTAAAGATTCCATGGGGACTATTAAAAAAATAGGAATCAGCCTCCCTGTCCAGCTGGCTACACAGGTTGTGTATAATGTATATGATGTGTATATATAATATGGATCATATACGGTGTATCATATATAAGTGACTGACTTGGTGAAGAGGAGGTAGGCTCGTCTGTGTTGGTTGTACAGGTTATATAATGTATATGATGTATATTGAGGTGTACACAGTGCGGTAACTCACTGACTTAGTGAAGAAGAGCTCTCAGCCCTCTCTAGTGCTGGTCCTACAGTTTATCCGCCGTGTACAGAGCGATGTACACGGCACACAGTGAGGGACTGACTTGGTGAGGCGGAGTCGGGCCTCTCCGGCGCTGGTTACACGGGGCTACAGGTGGTGTGTGCGCGGTGTACAGAGGGAAGCACAGCGTGTGCACAGGGAGGGACTGACTTGGTGAAGAAGAGCTGCGCCTCTCTCTCGTGCTGGTTGTACACGAGCTCCAGGTACATGTGCACAAACACGGGGTACAGCAGAGTGGAGAGCTCCGCTTTGAAGGCGTCCAGCGCCGCCTCGATGAAGCCCTTGAGGCCGGTGTAGTACTCCTCGTACAGGGCCGGGTCGCCCTCGTTGCTGTAGGCCGAGAGGACCGAGCTGACGTCGGGCTGGTGCACGGAGTTGGCGGCGCGGGTGGCGGCGGCCCGCAGCGTCTCCTCCAGCGGCTCCTGCAGGTTGGCCTCGCGGCGCAGGATCTCCTCGGCCTCCCTGAAGTGGTTCTTCTTCAGGAACTGCAGCACCGCGAGCAGCGTCTGCCGGTCCGACAGGTCGGGCGGCGGCTTGGGGGCGCTCGGGGCGGCGCCGCCGCTGTCCTCTGGCGGGCCGGGGCCGGGGCCGGGGCCGGGGCTGGGGCTCGGGCTGGGCCCGGGGCCGGGGCTGGGGCCGGGCTCCGAGCCCGAGACCGCGGCCACAGCCGCCGCTTCGCTCTGCGGCTCTGGCACTGCCGCCATCTTGCGCGCCCTGCCAGTCGCGCTTCACGACAGCCCCGCCCTGACTCGCGGACGCACAGGGCGGCGGTCGCTCACTCGCTTTCCGGCACTGCTGGCGGCCCCCATCAGCACTGCACGACAACGCTGGCAGCATCTGCTTTACGGTCGGGCCACTTAAAGGGGCAGCGCACTGATCACCCGATTATTGCTCATAGAAAAATAATATAATGATACGATACACTACACAATAATCCCCCGAAATACAACAATATAGAGTTATATAATAACAAAATAACAATCAACATAACTTAATAATGTAAAACGAAAATAATATAATTATAAAATAATCAATAGCAGTAAATATAATAATAGAGTATAAACGCAGCAGCCAATGTGCACGAGGCAGTGTCGCCGCAAACAGCCATGAAGTGAGTGAGCCATTGTATTTGGGGAATTGTCGGCGAGGACACCGGGAGAGAAAGAGAAAGAAACTCCCTTCTCTTTTCCAATTCCAATCTTTAGTGGTCCTCCTGAATAAGACACCGGTGGAACCTCAACTTAACATCTCATCTGAAGGATGGAGTCTCTGACAATACAGAGCTCCCCCCGAGCAGCTGGACTGTAAACTCAGAGTCCTGACATGGGATTGAACCCACAACCTTCTGACCCAGAGATGAGAAAGTGAGTGGCTAACCCACAGACTGAAACTGAAAGAACTTTTTTTTAACATACAAATGCTTTATTTGGAAAGGAAAACAATACTACAAAAAGGGGATGCGGGGGAGGGGCAAATCAGACAGTTCTGACAAGTCAGCAAAGTTCTAAGATTCTATCATGTTGAAATATCTCAAAAAGCTTCAGAATAATTACTGTCCTGTGTAGAAAGTATTTTTAAAGACAAGCAGGTCACCGAGTTCCCACAAAAAGGCAGGAGTGAGTGAGCGATCAATCTCTCTTCTCTTGTGTAATATGTCTTTAATGTCCTCCTCGTGCTGCTGGGGAGAGGCTGTCACACTGACTGCTTCCCTCTGCACCATCTCCCCTTCACCACCTCCTGGCCTTTCCCATCACAGCCTCCAACTTCCTGAACATGTTCCAAGCAGATGGGGCGGCGGGTGGGCTTTGATAGTACCAAATGTATGATACACTGTAAAGCTCCCTCTCCACTGTCCATCCCCTCTCCCAGGTCAGGGTTAGATACACTGTAAAACTCCCTCTACACTGTGCGTCCACACTCCCAGGTCAGGGTTAAAGACACTGTAAAACTCCCTCTACACTGTGCGTCCACACTCCCAGGTCAGGGTTAGAGACACTGTAAAACTCCCTCTACACTGTGCGTCCACACTCCCAGGTCAGGGTTAGAGACACAGTAACGCTCCTCTACACTGTGCGTCCACACTCCCAGGTCAGGGTTAGAGACACAGTAAAGCTCCTCTACACTGTGCGTCCACACTCCCAGGTCAGGGTTAGAGACACAGTAAGGCTCCTCTACACTGTGTGTCCACACTCCCAGGTCAGGGTTAGAGACACAGTAAAGCTCCTCTACACTGTGTGTCCACACTCCCAGGTCAGGGTTAGAGACACAGTAACGCTCCTCTACACTGTGTGTCCACACTCCCAGGTCAGGGTTAGAGACACAGTAAAGCTCCTCTACACTGTGTGTCCACACTCCCAGGTCAGGGTTAGAGACACAGTAAGGCTCCTCTACACTGTGTGTCCACACTCCCAGGTCAGGGTTAGAGACACAGTAAAGCTCCTCTACACTGTGTGTCCACACTCCCAGGTCAGGGTTAGAGACACAGTAAAGCTCCTCTACACTGTGTGTCCACACTCCCAGGTCAGGGTTAGAGACACAGTAAAGCTCCTCTACACTGTGTGTCCACACTCCCAGGTCAGGGTTAGAGACACAGTAAAGCTCCTCTACACTGTGTGTCCACACTCCCAGGTCAGGGTTAGAGACACAGTAAAGCTCCTCTACACTGTGTGTCCACACTCCCAGGTCAGGGTTAGAGACACAGTAAAGCTCCTCTACACTGTGTGTCCACACTCCCAGGTCAGGGTTAGAGACACAGTAAAGCTCCTCTACACTGTGTGTCCACACTCCCAGGTCAGGGTTAGAGACACAGTAAAGCTCCTCTACACTGTGTGTCCACACTCCCAGGTCAGGGTTAGAGACACAGTAAAGCTCCTCTACACTGTGTGTCCACACTCCCAGGTCAGGGTTAGAGACACAGTAAGGCTCCCTCTACACTGACTATGCAGGTAGATAGAAGTAGTTGGTGAGGTGCAGTCTGTGTGCCTCCTCTTTGCCACTAGGTGGCAGCAGTGGGCTGTGTGAGTGCCTTTCTGGCTGGAGATGTGTTGGTGTTCGCTGGGAGCGCTGTCTGGTTGGAGACAGTGGTTGTTGTAGTCTGTGACCCCAGGCAGGGCTGCGGGGATGGGAAAGCGCAGGTTGCGGAGAGAAGTGTCTCTAACTGAGTGATGAAGCTCCTATTTATACAGAGCTGGTGGCCTGTCCCTCTGGGTCTGACCCCCGGGGGCAGAGCTGGACTGAGGGACAGCTGGTGCCTGGTCTCGATGCTGTGTGTGTGCACAGGCCCTGAGCACTGCCTGTATTGCCAGCTTCAACCAGTGCCCTGTCACTGCACAGAAACACTGTTACTGCATCAATGACTGTATATGTGGTTGCATTGTTGACTGCATCGCTGGTCGCACCACAGGTTGGACTGCTGGCTGCGTTGCTCCCCGGAGGGGAGAGGATTCCTCAGCCCTACAGCATTTCAAAATCAATAACATGTCTAAGTGAATTGGGGAGGGGAGGTGGGCTCTCCCTGGGGCTGAGCTGGCTCCAAATGCCAGGCGGCAGTAACCAGAGGCACAGCTCATTAAATAATCATCACCCTGACATCTGATTCCCGCCTTTCACATCAGGGGGATGTCTCACAATGCTTCACAGCCCTCACTGTCGTGTAGTGACTATGTTTTGTAGTGCGAACGAGGCAGCCAATTTGGGTCACAGCAATATCCCACTAACAGCCGTGAAGCGAGCCACTGGTTTTATTTGGGGGATTGTTGACCAGGACAAGTCCTCCGCCCCATTTGATCTCATCCTTCGAAAGCCTCCACTCTCTCACTACAAACACCGTCTCACCCACTCACACACACAGTCCCACACTGATACACACACACACAGTCTCACATACACAGTCTCTCACACACTCATACAGAGACAAAGTTAGAGACAAAGTAAAGCTCCCTCTGCACTGATCACCCACACTCCCAGGTCAGTGACATCACGGGTTACAGATATGGCAGATCAGGGTGGATTCATTTCAGAGTCAACACGGAGAACAATCACATTTTTGAAAAAAACAAAACGGCTTTGGACTTTATTTACAGTGTGTACACATATACTGACAAGAAACAGTCACTGACAGGTCTGAGGGCTCTGCTCTGCTCTGCCTCAGTGCAGGACTCCTGGTCGCTCTCTGGTGCCCTCTCCAGGAGAGGGAGTGAAAGGCAGTCCTGGTTTCATTATGGAATCATAGAATCTTACAGCACATGAGGCCATTGGGCCCATCGGGTCTGTGCTGCCCAACTTGTCCCACTTCCCACTCTTACCCCATAGCCCTGCATAGATATCCCGGAACAGGCGCGAGGGGCTGAACAGCCTCCTCCTGTTCCTATGTTTCTATGCACATCTAACAGATTGCAAAATTGATAAATAAAACAAGCTCCCACTTTGTAACTTGTTCCTCTTTCCTGTTCGTGCTTTTGATCACTCTACTCCCCCCCCCCCACCCCCTCCATTCTCCCTGATCCGGATCTCCAGCTCGGGTCTAAATCTCTGTCTGTCCAGCGCCTTGGGACGTCCTCCCAACGTGAAACAAATATAACGTTGCTGTTGTTGTTCCTGAATTTGCATTGAGCTGCGGTTTTGATGCCAGACACGACTGCTGTACGGTATATAATATATATATATATAAAAATAAAGGAATGCTAGCAGATATTCATAAACTTTCACAGATAAGAGTTGCCTGGTTTTACACATCATTGACACAAGAACTATAAGAAAGTGGTTACAGAAAATATAAGTGCAGAACTTCTTCCCCAAGTGCCTGGCAGGTGGCGAGGGAACCACTTTTACTGTCATAAAAAAATATTCCTGCGCAAACATCAACGCTATCACCCGAGACTCACACACAGACTTTAACACATGGTTCAGCATTGAGATAAGGCTCCAGCCAGCAAGACAGCTACAGAATATTCTACACACAGACCCACACCAAACATCGCGCCGAGCTGAGCTGTCAGGGCTCTTAATTCAAATAAAAAAGCTAATTTCACTTGGTCTTAACATTTATGATTGTGATAGAGTTGTGGAAATTTCCTAAAATCAGGGGGAAATTCCTGAAATCAGGGGAAATTCCTTACAAAATCAGTCTGCGTTTCTTAAACACCAGAAGCCGTTCTCTCGCCCCCAGTTCCCAGCTCTGCACTGTCTGAGGGTTTAAGAGAAAATTGTGAGTGGGAGTGAGCAGGTGGAATGTCTGATCTCTCCCCCCACACACAATCTCCTACCCCCTCACCACCATCCCTCCCCCCTCCCCACACACGTACCCACACACTCTCCCCCCGCACCCCCGTGCAGCTGTGAATCACGAAACAATTGCCCCCTCCCCACACACACACTCACACCTGACCACTTGAAGAATCATCAAGTGCATAAGGTGTCTCTCGAGTTTACCATAAACATACTGTCACTACACTTTACAACAAAGCGAGTCGCTTCTCCGGACACTGCCGGCCAGCGCATGAGTTTGTCTTTCTGTGTGTGTGAGTTTCGGAATGTTTCTGTTTGTGGCTGTGTCTCTGTGTGTATATATGTGTGTGTGTGTCTGCGTGTATATAGGTGTGTGTATCTGTATGTATATATGTGTGTGTGTCTGTATGCATAAATGTGTGTGTCTGTGTATATATGTGTGTAAGCCTGTGAGTATATGTGTGCAGGCATATATATGTATATATGTCTATATATAATATGTGTATATGTATGTGTGTGTATGTATATACTGTGTGTGTGAGTATGTGTGTATACATATATATGTGTGTTTGTGTGAGTGTATGTGTGTATATGAGTGTGTACAGTAGAGGACTCTCTGGGAAGGGCTCTCTGCTCACACCGCCTTGTAATGAAACCCAGTTTCAGGTCAGGCGGCTGATAGGAGGGCTCAGTTGAAAGTCACTTTTATCAGAAGTTCCAGTCGGTCACTCGCCGCGGGAGATTCCAGTGTCAGTGTCAGTGTCAGGGCCAGAGTCAGGGTCAGGGTCAGTGTCCAGCCTCAGGGGCTCCCCAGCCGAGCCCCCAAACGTTTGTCCACAAAACGCGCTGTGTGTGTTGGCTGTCGCTATTCGCATGCCGACGCCACGGAGGTGACGGAGGCGATCTTGTTGTCCTGTGACCAGGGCTGCAGGTTCTGCAGCGCGTACAGCGAGGAGTTGTGCAGACAGATGGGGTCCGGCTGGAGCGGCTGGTTCAGCGACTTCTGGAAAGCTTCCTGCTGTAACTGCATCAGGATACGGTTGGCCTGCTGTCTCTCTGCCTCCCTCTCCTCCGCCGTCTGCCGCCTGCACACACACACACACACAGCGTTCGTTAGTGCCTGTCACTCTGCGTCAGGATATCAGCAGCCAGCACCCCTCCCCCACATCACCGCCACCCCCGCCCCCAAAAAACGTTCATTCAATGAGTGTCGGTGTGTGTATGTATTTTAGTGTATGTGTGTGTAAACAGCTCCTGCCAGGCTGTGTGTGTATGTTTCAGTATGTGTGTGTGTGTATTTCAGTGTCGGTGTGTGTCTGTATATTTCAGTGTGTGTGTAGATTTCAGTGTATATGTGTGTGTGTTTGTCTCAGTGCGCGCGCGTGTATATATTTCAATGTGTATGTCAGTGTCAGTGTGTATGTGTCAGTGTGTATGTGTCAGTCAGTGTGTATGTGTCAGTGTCAGTGTGTATGTGTCAGTGTGTATGTGTCAGTCAGTGTCAGTGTGTATGTGTCAGTGTGTATTTAAGCTGATGGTGTTGATCAGTGACTGACTCTCTGGCCGATGGGAAAGGTCCCTTGTCGGTCCGTCCGTCCGCCCCCATCCCCCGCCCAGGGAATACCTATAACATTTAGCCTCTTGTACTTTATATACTTTATATATATATTATATATATTATAATTCGCTTAGTATTTATTACCCCAAAAAATCTGAGTTATTAATATGAATGTTGCCGGCCTCGCTGCCATTCTCAATCAGACGTGTGCGAGGCAACAGGCGGGCAAAAAGACAGGCAGGCAGGCTGAGAGCCAGGAAAGGCAGGCAGGCAGGGCAGGTAGGGTAAGGCAGGCATGGCAGGGCTGGGCAGGGAAGCCAGGCAAGGCAGGTAGGGCAGGGCGGCAGTGAGAGAAGCAGGCAAGGCAGGCATGGCAGGCAGAGAGGGCAGCTGGGCAGGGCGGCAGTGAGAGAGGTAGGCAGGGCAGGCAGGGAAGCAATGACACCAGCCCAAAGCCACTGGAAAAGTCTCCCGGTCCCAGCAGCAGCGACCCGTGACCCTGACCACTGGCCACTGGGACTGTGCGTGTGAGATTCCGTGTCTGTGGCAGTGTCTGCCTGTGCCCAGCTCTCTGCCAATATACAGCCCTGTCACCCTGAGCAGTCTGTCCCCGCCCTCCCTCACCCCAAATCCACACCTCATCCCACCATCCCAAACGCCAGCCCGCGCTCCGCAACCCATTAACCTCCCTCTCCCCTCACCCAATGCGGGTTTAAACAGATTTACTAAATTGATCGCTAGTGTTCGATTTCTGTTAATAAAAGTTCAATCTCAGTGTATCACTTACCCAGACATCGGGGACAGTCACACAGCGAGCGGGGGGGAGGGGGGAGAAATGGGAAGAGAGAGAGGGGGGGGAGAAAAATGGGAAGAGAGAGGGGGGGAGAGAGAGAAGGGGAAAGAGAGAGAGAGGAGAGGGAGGTGGAGGAGAGAGAGAGAGAGAGAAAGAAAGAAGAAGGAAAGAGACAGAGAGAGAGAAAGAGCCCGAACACTCACATCAATCACGCTCTTCACCCGCACTTTATTTCGAAACCGCTTTACAACTTATCTATTGGTTTTATTAGGATAATAACCTGGTTTACAGACAGGGCTGTGATTAGTGACCCCGATTGACACGGAGAGAGTCTGAAAGACAGAGACAGAGAGCGCCTGAGAGAGTCTGAGAGATTGAGAGAGAGAGAGAGACTGTGAGAGAGAGACTGAGAGAGACTCAAAGAGCAAAACTGCGAGAGACTCAGAGAGAAAAAGAAAGGAGAGACTGAGAGAGAGAGAGTCAGTCAGGGACAGACAGACTGACTTGTGAAATCGCCGCTCTAACGCAACACACTCAGTTTAGTTTTATATATTTTACATACACCGTAAAGTGGAGGCAAGATTAATTTTCAGATGATTAAATTACATTTAATGATTTCATCCATTTATTATAAACTCTAATCACCGGGTTAAGTAATCAACGCAATACACAGTCACTACACTTTTCAATATATTGTGAAGCGCTTTGAGATGTCTCATCGACGTGATAAGCCGCAATATCAAATGCAAGGATGATTATTATTAAATACAAATATATATATATATTTGCTGCTTAAGTTGTGTTCGTTGTAATATTCCAAAAAGAGAAATGAAAATGGAAGTTATTCAGGTCTGAGAGGCGGCGGCTGAATTTTTAATCCTTGATTTGGTTTCTAGTCGCTTTTCAACGGGTTTTCTCATTTAAAAATAATTGTTACTGTGATTAATTCAGGAATTTTATTCCTATTTATATTTATTCGCGCAAAGTTCAACAAAATGAGCGCCCGCGAACTCTAATTATATTCTTCTATGATTATTAATACCATTAAATATTAGGTTACAGATTATTATATTATCGTTAATATAGGTTATATTATGGTTAACACAATTAATACAAATGCAGCCTGTGGGTATTTGAGCCGGGATACAAACGCGCGCTGTGTGTGAGATTAATATTAATATTTATTATCAGATACTGTTGAACCAAACAGCTAATATTTATACCTTTCCTGAAACACAGACCGCTCACACATTTCATTCCCGCCCACGATAATCTGACATTGTTTTTAACAACAAAATTCCTTCACAATATTGACTGCCGTTTGTCTGAAATGGAATCATTGAAACCGCGCCGATTTGCCCCGAATAAAGGCCGCATTTGTTAAACTGTGATTTATACAGTTACAGACACGGGCTTTCCCTCTCTCTCCCTCACTATCAGGGAATATTCTCGCCCACAAAATACAGTCAATTCACTTTACAGTATATCCTATGAAGTGCTTTGAGACGTCTCGAAGACGTGATAAAGCGCTATATCAAATGCAAGTATTACTATTGTTGCTACACACACACCATCAGATAATATTGTATTCTCTCAAACACCATCAAGTAATATTCTCTCTCTCCCCCCTTCTCTCTCCCTCTCTCTCACACACATCAGGTAATATTCTCTCTCTCTCCCCCTCTCTCTCCCTCTCTCTCACACACACATATCAGGTAATATTCTCTCTCTCTCCCTCTCTCACACACACATACACATCAGGTAATATTCTCTCTCTCACACATACAGACACAGCAGCAGGGAATATTCACACAGTTTCCACAGTTTCAGGACACGGATTATAATAACAATAACCCTTACATTTGATACAGCGCCTTATCATGCTGTTTGAGGCGTCTCAAATAAGTGAATAAGTAACATTAATGTGTAGCCACACTATCCCCCCGCTAACAGCCACCTGGGCAACTATTTTTATTATTATATTTTTTTGGAGGGTGGGGGGGATTGGGCCAGGGAGTGGGGGTGGGGGGAGGGGTACCTGGGCGTGTGAGCGGGTCTGGGGGACACAGTGAGATTCTCAGTATCCGGAGGCCCCGCTCCCCTCTCCTCACACCGCACTTGGGATTTGGGGGGATTCGCTCTGTGCTGCAAATTTGTGCTCCGATCTGGGGGCAATTCACAGATTGGGGGCCGAGTGAGCGAAATCAGTGACTGCCTTCAACAACCATCTGTTTATTATTAATACAATTATTATGATGTTATCACAATGTACATTTCTTGATGGTTTCAGTGATGTGCAGGCAGACCATAAACACTGCCACTTTACATATCTATAGATGTTACTTTTCTTAATCGCTTGGGGCTTCCTAAAATAGCTACGTTTTGCAGGAGATTGATATTTTGTTCATTACTAACAGATTAAATAAAACTCAATTATTATTATTTTTATTGTAAAGTGGATTGACTGGGTATTCGCCCACAAATACACTTAATCCACTTTACAGTATATTCTGTGAAGCGCTTTGAGACGTTCTCGAAGACGTGACATCAAATGCAAGGATTATTATTATTATTATTGTTACAATAAGGTGAGCAGTGGAATCGGGCATATTGTAGTCTGACTCAGGCAGTAAAGTATTGTGTAAATGTGAAGCATTTGCCCAAGTTAATTACATGTGGCTGAGATTGGGGGCACACATAGACCCACATACGCAGACACACACACACACAGACTGGGGCAGGAATACTGGGCAGTGAGAATGTGTATGACAGTGCAGTCAGAGAGAGGCGCTGCCAGGCTGCCCAGTGCCCAGTGTTAATGTTTGCAGTAAAATACACCACAAATTGTCCCCTTTACCTCCATTTTGTCCTGCGGTTCTGAAACCAGGTTTTGACCTGAGCGTCTGTCATCTTGAGCGCCTTGGCCAGTGCCGCCCGCTCCGCCGACGCCAGGTATTTCTGTCTGTGAAAGCGCTTCTCCAGCTCACAGATCTGCAGGCGGGTGAACGAGGTTCGAGGCTTCTTCTTCTTGGGCGGCGTCCGGTTCTGGTACGGGTGACCTATACGGCGTGTTACAGTGAACGGTGAGAGTGCCACTATAGCGGGAGGGAGAGAGGGAGAGAGAGAGACAGGCAGACAAACAGTGAAGCAGCGTCAGCGAAAAGCTCTGGGTCGGTGGGAGAGGGCAGGGGAGCAGTAACCGAGACACACTAACACACACACACATACACACACACATTCAGATACTCAGACACACAAATACACACAACCACACATAGATATAGAGATAGAGAGGGAGGAGTGTGTATGTTTGTGTGTGTGTGTGTGTGGAGGGGGGGGCACTAACGCTTGACACACGCACATTGATTCACACACACTGATTCACACGCAGGTAAACAGGCACACACACAGACACACACACAGGGCAGGGGAGCACTCACGGTAGACGCAGACATGGACTGACACAGTCAGACAGATCCACAGACACACACGGACAGACAGACAAACAGATACACACACACAGACCCACACACCAAAACACAGAAAATCAGACATAGATAAACACATACACGTGGAGACAGATAAGGACATATGCATATACATACAGACACATACAACCACAACGCCCCCCCCCCCCCCCCCACACACACGCGCGCGCGCGCACAGACAGTTGTACACACAGAGAGACACATATCCACACAGAGATAGACACACATGCAAGGAGACACAGAATAGGAGAAAGTGCCTCATCCCAGAGAGGAAAGTGCTGCAAGTTAAGGAATTAATTAATGCATCCAGTTAGTAACAACACGATAAGGCAGCTGGAGTCAGGGATAGACAGGAGCCGGGCTCACACACACACGAGGTTCACACACCCCCGAGGCTCACACACACACGAGGTTCACACACCCCCGAGGCTCACACACACACGAGGTTCACACACCCCCGAGGCTCACACACACACACCCGAGGTTCATACCCCCCCGAGGCTCACACACACACACCCGAGGTTCACACACCCCCGAGGCTCTCACACACACACACACACACAGGGCTCACACACACCCGGGGCTCACACACACACACACATATAGGGCTCTCACACACAGGGCTCACACATACACACACACACAGGGCTTACACACACCTGATGCTCACATACACCCGAGGCTCACACACCCCCGGGTCTCACACACACATAAATAGGGCTCTCACACACAGGGCTCACACCCACCCACAGGGTTCATACACACAATGGGTTCACACACACCCACAGGGCTCACACACACTCACACGGCTCACACACGCAGGGTTCACACCGGGCACGCACACACACACACACACACAGGGCTCACATACATTCACACACACACACACACACACACACATACACAGGCCTCACACATACACACACACAGGGTTCACACACACACCGAGCTCATACACACACATACACACACAGGGCTCACATACATTCACACACACATAGGGCTCACACACACCGGACTCACACACACACATAGGGCTCACACACACACACACACACATACACACACAGAGCTCACACATACACACAGACAAGGTTCACACACATGGCTCTCTCTCTCTCTCTCTCTCTCACACACACACACACACACATGGCTCAGACAAACCCCGGGCTCACACACACCCGGGCTCACACACACCCCGGGCTCACACACACCCCGGGCTCACACACACACACAGGGCTATGGCAAGCTATAGGGAGCACTCGGGGCTGTGAGTCTCTCTCTTGTATAAAGTTGTTGCTGGGATATGCCTGGCGCGCTTACTCACTACTGGTTTCAGGAGGTAAAGATTTGGCCAGAAAAACTTTGTGTTAAGTTTCTGGTTAAACCAACACAGAGCGAAACTAAAAATAAATAGAAAGGTATACAGAGTGAGAGATATAGTTATATGTATATATAAAGAAATCTTAGTTATATGGAGTTATATATGGAGATAAAAATAATCAGATAAAGATAGAGAAAAAGAGAAAAATATAGAGAGAGTGAGATATATACAGAGAGCAATATCAAAATATATCGAAACAGTTTTATATAGAGAAATACTTTGTGTCGAATGCAAAGACTACTAAATAAATATATAAAGTCAGAAAATATATAGAGAAAAGTAATTATATGAAGGCAGAAATAGAGGGAGAGAGAGAAAGCGAGAGATCGAAAGAATAGATAGCAATACTATAAAACAAAAACAAATCATCCAACAACAAATTATAAATTATGACTAATTATATACAACAGAAACTAGAAAAAAGGAGAAACACAAAACAGCTATTCTACCTGAAATAGAGAGAGCTGTGTTCATCAGAGGAAGAGAGGGTATGTGTAAAATAGAGTCCGAGAGAAAGAGTGTGTAAAAAAGAAAGTCAGAGAGAGAGAGAGTGAGCAGAGAATATGTCCAGAATAGAGCGAAAAGGAGAATAAGGAAACAGAGAGCGAGAGAGAGAGCTCACACCGTGACCGGGATGTGTGAGCGGCTCTGTGTTCTAATCTCACCTACTATTTTAATGACGATTTTAATTTAGAGAGAGAATCGCAGGTAATCAACGTAAGTGTATGTGCGTGTGTGTATGTATGTGTCTCGGTATTTGTCGGGCTGGACAGTTTAACATTTCCCCACATATACACACAGGACTCCCCAGCAGCAAGTAATCCGCCTTCATTGTAAATACAGTGTTAATACATTTTGCCCAGGTATGTCGTGCAAACGAAATCTCTGACCAGAATATTGGTAATATGTTAAATGTCAATATTCCCAACTCAACCTGTGTGTGTGTGTGTGTGTGAGTGAGTATGTGTGAAAGAGAAACAGTTACAGTTACCCACAGAGAGAAAGCTATTATATTTATACTCTCTTCACCTCCCGCTTTCACACCCTTCCGAGTTTTACACCCACCCCCCCACACACTGAACACAATCATTTGTTTGTGTGACACTACTGTCCTCGATTAACTGCCGCAAAATATACAGTCACCACACTTTATAGTGTATTCTGTGAAGCACTTTGAGACGTCCCAACGACGTGATCAGGCGCTGTATCAAATGCAAGGATTATTATTAATATTATTTTATTATCACGTCTTCGAGACGTCTCAAAGCACTTCACATAAATATACTGTGAGGTGTAGTGAATGTGTATATTTTATGAGCGAAGCTAATCATTAATTATTAATATTAATAATAATTAAAATGATGAGATAGTGTGGTGACGCAGAGAGAGCGGGGAGTTGGCTGTGCCGCGCAGGCACTGAGGATAGATAACGAGGCTGGAAGTGGCGGGGAAGCGGGAACAGCCCATCCCGGGGACTCGCTCCCCGTTACCGTGATACCAGGAGGCGGTGGGGAGACAGCGTATGGCCTTGGGGTGGGGGGAGAGAGCGGTCCTTTACCCCGGATTTTACCCGCTCAATAACTGTTATTTCACCCCCATTCGTTCATTCATTCGTTCGTGTGTTTATCTATTCGTTTCTTCTCTTTAAAGACCCCACACAGAGCGGCTCGGGGCAGCTATATATATATATATACACATATAAATAAGGTTCCCGCCGTTGTTGTTTCCGGTTCTCGGTGTACCTAAAAGCGGGTTAAATCGCGGTTTCGCCATTTAGCGCCGCGAAAAATCCCGCCAGAAGTTTATCTGCGAGAAACGTGGGGATTTGCGGTGCGAAAGGAACGATTTTCTTCAGGAATAATAATAATTATAATATAATAATAAACAAGGATTATTATTATAATGTTTGCATTTAACACAGCGCCTTATCGGTCTTCGAGACGTCTCAAAGCGCTTCACTGGATATACTGTAAAGTGTAGTGACTGTGTATTTTGTGGGTGAAACGCGGCCGCCAATTGCGCACAGCAGCGTCCCACAAACGGTCATGTATTGAGTGACCAAATTATAATTTTTTTCTCTTGAGGGATTATTACCCCCGGAAAAGCGATCCGCCAATCGACTAACAACCGGGTTCCCACTGACTGCCGGTAACCAGAGGCGCGTGGAGTAAGGAAACTGGTCTAAGGTTTCCCCCTGTCAGGGACTCGAATATACGGTAAAGTGTATTTTGTGGGAGATTTTTTAATAATAATAATAATCCTTACGTTTGATATAGCGCCTGATCATTCGTTGAGATGTCTCAAAACTTCACAGAATATAATGTAAAGTGTAGTGACTGTGTATATTGTAGGGCGCAGCAATGTCCCTCAAAACAGTGGTGGATTGAGTGACCACATTATTATTATTATTATTTTTAAGCAATTTTGAAGGAATATATCGTAAAGCGAAACACCCACAAATACACAATCGCATGTGTGCAGGAATGTGTGAGAGTCGGTGGCGCGGTCTGGCGGGCGGCGGAACTGACCTGTGAAGCGCTCCTTGGTGTAGCGCCTGTTGCTCTCCATCCAGGGGAAGGTGATGCCGGGGGCGGCGGGCAGGGCGGGGACCATGGGCTGGGGCATCCCGGGAGCCAACGGCCGGTGTGCGGGCACCCGGATCACCCCGGCGCCGCCGCTCAGGTTGTGTCCGCTCACGTTCACATTCACGTTGTAGTTGGCCACACTACAGGCGCTGTTGTAGCCACTGTTATAGTTCATGGCCAGGCTGTTATAGGCGCTGTTATACCCCAGCCCGTACTCGGCCTCCTGGAGCCGCGGGCTGGCCAGCAGACACCCCGCCTGGATCTGGTCAGTGTGGTTTAATATCTGGTCTATCCCGAAGCTGATGGGCTCGTGTTGGGAATGGCCCTGGCTCACAAGATGGTCCATTTTGCGCTGGTGTGTGTATGTATGTGTTGCGAAAGAGGGATTCGCTTCGAGAGCACCTGGGGGGTTCCGGGAAGCCTGGCTCAGCTCAGCTCAGCCCAGTTCAGCCCAGCTCAACCCGGGATAAGCTCCGGCACGGCTTGGCTCAGCTCTGCACGGCGGCTCCGGGAAGTCTGGCTCAGCCCTGCCCTGTCCAGCCCAGCCCAGCTCAGCCTGGGGTAACTCCGCTGCTGCACGGCTCTGCACGGCACAGCTCGGCGGCTCCGCGTTCCTTGTTTTTTTCCGTTCTGTAGCTTGGATTTGGGGACTGGAAATTCAGAGTAAAGAAAGGGAAACCTCATCAATCAGGTTTGCGGGAGAGGCGCCGCGGGCACAAGCCATCCCGAATCGGTGCGGCCAGCGCTTCCCATTGGCTGAACTCCGAGTGACGGGGCGGGGAGGAGGTGGGACGGATCCGGCCCGCGGAAAGGTTGGGGGGAGGGAGCAGTGCCCAAGGCGTGCGGGCGCCCTCAGTGTACGTGGCCTTATAAAGTCAGGCAACATTCACGGCAGACGTGAAATTTCTCCAATTATTTATGACAATATTTTATAATGAGATCATTCACAACACTGGAGGGAATCTGTTACTATTAAACTCCCGTCACTGCAATCCAATCATTCAACATTCATAGAAACTAATATATCCCCCCCATCCTAAACTAATATCTAAACTAATAATATCCCTCATTCTAATTAATAACCTGGCATTTTCATCCACATTTCCAAATGCTCCAAGGATAAAAGGAAGTTTTGCATGGTCCACGCTGTGTGCTTATACCTGTGTATGTATTTAGTGTCAATGCCTGCGTGTGTGTATGTGATTACATGTCCATGCCTATGTGCGTGTATGTATTTGTATATATATTTGTATGTTTCACTTTCTGTGTCTCTCTTTGTGCCCCGTGTGTGTATTTCTCTCTGTTCGCTATGTGTGTTTGTATCTATGTGTGTTTTATCTCTATGTGATCATGCATGTGTGTATCTCTCTCTCTGTTTCTCTGTATCTGTGTTTGTATCTCTCTGTATGTGTGTATATTTGTGTGTATGTATTATGTGTTCCCTGTATATGCGCGCGTGTGTTTGTCTGTGACTGTATCTCACTGTAACTGTATGGGATGTATCGCTATTTCTCTCTATCTGTGTGTATTTATCTGTATCTGTGTGTGATGTATCTCACTGTAACTGTGTGTATCGCTGTTTCTTCCTGTCTCTGTGCGGGGGGGGGGGGGGGGGGGGGTGGACAAACGGTCTTCCTATTTTACGCATTCGAATTCCCTATTACGAATAGTTTATTTTTTCCAAATAAAAGTAAGCAGTGGAATAATTTAATAATATAAATTGTAATTCCGATTTTGAAAATCACAGAATAAAATTATTGAACGACACAGAGCGCCCATTAAAGGGAAATAAGGTCTCATTGGAACGAATAACGCGAATTACAAAAAACAAACAAGCGGGAAAGTAATTAAATATCTGCCGAGTTCTGGAAATATCCAACCAAGTCCTCAACATAAATTAACAATAAATTAACAATGCATAATTCATCCCCTCCACTTATAAACTCTACATTCTCAATTTGAATAAATATATATTGCATCCCGGAAAAAACATATTCACGGTAAATTATGGATGGGAGATAATTCACGCTTAAACATAGCAAATGCTCCAAAAGTTACACACTTAAATATCTTTCTTTTATTAAAAACGACTGTGTAGCAATTGAGATGAATTGAAAGTTGCAGGAGGTAAAGGCAGCTCGCGGAGCCGGAGCGGGGCAGAGAGGAGGGGAGAGAGGAGAGAGACGGTGAGAGAAAGATTGTCTCTCAGTAATAAACGGTTCAACTGAAGATCGAAAGCAAAACACACGCACACACCGCTCGGGCGGATGAGCCTTTGGGTTGTGCTGTGCGGTGTTATTAAATGAAAATAAATATTTTTAGCAATCTTGTCAAGAGGCCGGAATGTAAGCTGTTAACTTAGTTTATACTGTTAACTCTTCCCATCCCTCTTTCTAACCCTTTACCATTAAATCCAGACCCGCCAGTCTGGTCTGGGGCAAAAGCTGCTGAATTATTAGTTGAATTAGTTGAATTAACGGACGGCTGACGTCATCGGCTAATTGACAGACGTCTAAAGGCTTCATCTGATCATCTGTCACATCTCTGCCCTTCCTGCCAATCGCCTCTGCCAACCCTGCACTAACCATCTTTCATTCTACCCCTCCATACACACATACTTACACTCTCACTGCCACACACACAAACCTACATTAAGCTATAGTATCTCTCACACACAACCTACAGTCACACACAACACACTGACCCAATAACCTACTCTCTCTCACACACACAATAATCTATATTCTCACAGTGACACCCGCACTCCCTATCGCCTCATCCCCACTTCCGATCTCTTAATGTACAACTTCACACTGGAGCGTTAACCTGTAACTGCCATTTGTCTGCCCATGTGCTATGTACTCCTGAAGCCAGTGTATGAAGGGGAGAGAGAGAAAAAAAACAGTAATATATGTGTGTATGCGAGTGGGGGGGGGGGGGGGTGGATAGAGAGGAGAGGGACAGAGGTGAAAATGATACCGATTGCGGGGAGCCTGGGAACAAACTCAGGTTCCAGTGGAATTTATCCAAACACTTTTACTTTAAAATTTTGGTTTTAGCTGCTTAGACTACAGGAGTTACTCCCAATGCACACTCTGAGGTCCTCAAGCCTTGGCTCTTGTCACTTTGCGCCGAATACTGGACGGAATTAGGTGGGGTCTGTGCTGAGCTGTTCTGGTCACAATCTAAAACACTGCTCCGGCATTGGCAGGGGTTAGAGTGGAGCATTGGCTGGTAAGGTATGAATGGGAAGGGAGAAGGTCAGCTTTCGCGTTCACACTTGTGAATGAGTGACACAGAAGAGGCTGGCAGTCACCGGGGGAGGGATCGAGGCTGGCAGTCATGGTGGGGGTGGTGGGGGGAGGGAGATTGAGGCTGACAGTCACTGGGGTTGTCCAGGGGGATGAGAGACAGCGGGTCAGGCGCGGAGCACAACAAGAAGCTTCATAAATATCTCACTGGCTCCATTACAGCCTGTTTACTGCCCCATAAAACATTCATACTTACTGTCTGCCCAGCGCCTCGCCTCAATTTAACCTGCTAATGATTACAGGTTGGGAGCGACTCAAAGCAAAGGGCAAACATCATGTACAGAGAGAGAAAGATAGAGCCCTATATATATCTATAGAGAGAGAGAGGTAAAGAGAAGTCGAGAGAAATATACAGAGAGACCATGTATATTTATGTATATATAGAGAGAGGGGGAGAGAGATAGATACACAGAGAGATACAGAGGGGGGATCATACAGAGACAGACACACACAGACAGACACACACACACATATATATATCAAGAGAAACGAGAGAGTGAGATAGGAACATAGATTGTATAGAGATACATACAAAGATAGAGAGATACACAGAGTTAGAGAGATATGCAGATATACAGACAAGAGATTCAGATAGAGAGACACACAGAGAGCTGAGAGTGAGACAGAGAGAGATCTGAGAGAGACAGAATTGGCAGTGATTGTTACAATTGCTATAAATGTGTTCAGTTATTGTTGTGTATATGACACATTGCAGCTGTACTTGTAATATATTGTAGAGAGGACAACTTGTTCACATTTATTATAGAGCTGAAATGCTGATATATATATAACCATATGTGTGTGTGGGGGATGTATTAGGTTTGAAATGTTCTGAAGAAACGATATTCAAACAGAATATTTGTGCATTTATACAGTGCTTGTGTAATTTTATGTGAATGTAAATGTGGGTGTGATTTCACACACACACACTGTGCCAGCACCTGGTCTTGGGGTGGAAGTCAGGCCAATAGGGGTGGAGAAGTAAAACACACAGTCACTACAGTAACAGCGGTTTTACTGTCAAACGACGTTTGGGGTAAATAAGCGCAAAGATTGAAAGCGGCCACAACAAGGGGGTTCCCAGCAGCTCCAAACCACGACAACTTCAAACTCTCAAACACTGTCTAAAACCACGCGTGTGTGTGTATATATGTGTGTGTGTGGGGGGGGAGTAATCAATACGCCGTGACAATACACACACCAGGGGTAGAGAGCCCCCCACCCACTCCGTACAGTCTCCCCGGGGCGTGTATAAGTCTATTTGTGTTTGCGTGCTTGTGAATCTGTGTGTGTGTGTGTGTGTGTGTGGCCACTGACTGCACTAAGTATTAAACATTAATGAATTATGATATTAATAGGAACTCCTACAATTGGTTTCCCCTAACACAGCCTCACCAACACTGACCTCCCTCAGTAATTACCTCACACCAACACCAACACTGACCTCCCTCAGTAATTACCTCACACCAACACCAACACTGACCTCCCTCAGTAATTATTTAGCCCACACACCTAACCTCCCACACACCTACTCACAGGCCGCTGAGTGTGGTGGAAAGCCTGAGAGTTATTTACCCTGAGCGGGTGGGGGGGTATTAAAGAGAAGCTGATGTCTATCCTCTTCTCTGTCTGAAGGGGAACAACAATAAGCCACATTGCTGCGGGACAGTGAATAGCAATGAAAGCTCCGAACTTTAATGGCGATTTTTTGACTTTGTAACCTGCTCCTTCTCCCGGTTCCTTTAATAATATTATTATTAATAATAATAATCCTTGCATTTGATTTAGCGCTTCATCACGTCTTCGAGACGTTTCAAAGCGCTTCACAAAATATAATGTAAAGTGTAGTGACTGTGTATTTTGCGGACGAAACGTGGCAGACAATTGTCCCATAAACAGTCGGGGGATTGAGTAACCAATTTTTAAAAAAAATTCTTGAAAGGATTATTACACCGGAAAATACAAAGAAAAGTCAGAAGAAAATGAATGTAGACACTATATACACACACAGAAAGTACGGCCTCCCGGCACCTGTACAGTGCTTCACTCCCCCCCCCCCCCCCCATCCCCCCTTCTCTCTGACTTACTCGCTCACAATCTATTTTTGTGCCACTTTAATATCCTCTCTCCTCTCCCGTTTCTCAATGATTGGCGGGTAAACTGTAAGATGCCACTAAGTGCCCAGCGCTCCGTCCCGTCCTTTTATTTAGTGGATAATCTATTCTGCTGTGCTTCAATTATGCATTAACTTTGCGGGTTTCAGCACATTA